TTCAGGCAATGTTGATGCTGGATTCAAGGAAGCAGATCTTTGAAAGTCCAGCACTGATGTTCTGCAACCAATTARAACATCATCTAAAAGCACAGTCTTAAAGAAACTGCCATAAATGCCTACAGTACAGTTAATACAGATTTTTAAAGAAGCAAGTGTTGTAATTATAAAAATCTGCATTTTGCACAGAATTCGGTGCTTTTTATCTGTTATCTTCAGTGAACTTCACAGAGTCCTTCTGTGGTTCACAGAATCTCCATCCTGGTGCTCATGTCACAGTTCATGATCCATTAGGAGGTGCAACTGTGGAGTTTCCTGTTCCTTTCCCCCTCACCTCTGACATCCACAGTGTGTGAGGCTGGGCTTAGATTTCTTTCTGAGCTGTCACAGGGTTCTCTCCAGCAGCTTATTCTGATTCTGCAAGGGAATGAAAGATGTCCCAGACTTTTTTGAATCATGTCCTACTGCTCTGTGATGGTCCCATTGCCATGGATCCTGTGGGGACACGGTGCATAGAACCCATGCAAGTAGCATTATGCTTGAAATATGACCACACTTTTCTTCATCTTCTCGTTTTCCTGTAGTTATGAGCATGTATTTTGAGTGTAACACCTTAGACTTCCTAAGWGAGTTTTAAAGGAAGATGAAATCCAAATTTACAGCTGAGCAACATTTACTTTGTGACATGTACAACCTACTTCCTTCACGTACTCACAAAGATGCTTAAACAATTGTGCACAGGAGGATTTAACAAAATGCACCTTGAAAAGTCATTAATGCTGCTCAGAGGAATTCTAAGTAGGCAGAAAATAGAAGCAGATTTGAGAAATCACCTGTTGAAGCAGGTTTTTACAACTCAACTTGAAATGTAGTATAGGGCTTTGCTTTACATGTATTTGTGAGGGCTTGGTGTCTGCAGCCTGTGCCTGTTTTCACCTGTCCATTCATTGAATCTCTGAGGTTACCAGGAGCCAAAATGATAGGACTGATGTTTCTCTGCTTGGTAACAAGAACCACAACATCTTATGCTTGTAAACATTGCAAGTCTTGAGATAACTTCCTTCCAAATCCCCTGAAGCCTCATCTAAAATTGTTCAGTTGTTACCCCTTACACAAGTATTTATCGACATTATTTTGTTCTTTGCATTTTATATTTGAAATCACACCAGCCAGGACATCTAGCARGGTTTAGAAAATGTCACGTTCCTGTGCATGGATTGTTATACAACCCAAAGGGTTCACTGTTTTGTGAAGGTCATTTAAAAAATCAGGAGCAAATAAGAAAAGTAAAAACACAAGGAAACTACAGGATATGATTCATAAAAATCCCACATCTCCTCTATATGCTCACACAGTCTTCTTTGAAAAAACAAATAAAAGTTTCTGTTGTTTAGCAAAGTTCCAGTAAGTAACACACATGCCAGAGAACAAGCAAGCTCAAAACAATGAGCTAAAATTAGAAGAGGCAGATTCAGCATCTGAAGTCACAAATACACACACACTTTATAATGTGAAGGCATCTGGAAGAAATATAGTCACATGGACAGTCTGGGTGCTGGCATAAGGACTATAGCTCTGGAGATTTTTCCGTCAGCTTCAAGCTCTTTGTGGATCCTCAAACAACACTTTTAATCCTATCTGTGCAAGGAGGCAACAACTGGCCTGCTTCTGTGGCTGTTGTGAGTATGAAACCCTGGGTGTTTTTACAAGGATCTTGGATTTTTGTGTTGAGTGCCACTGAAATAAAATTATTTCTTCAAACCGCTCAGCTGTAAAAAGTGCCCAAAATGTAATTCACTTTGAGCCATTTTGCTATTCAGAGTAAGGCTATTTCCTACTGCAGTGAAAGACAGAGAAACATGGTGTACACTAGTACTGACCATTTGTCAGCACTTCAGTACCAATAAAATTTTTTCTGGTGTATTTTTCTCCTAACTTATATAAAACCATGGCTATGGGCAAATTTKCATATTACAAAGAGGATTCTGAGGAGCTGTCTGATCCCAATCTAGATTTCTATTTCCAGTCCAGACAMAGGCTCTAAAGGAGATAATACAAGCTATCAGAGGTCAACAAAGATGGAAAGATTTCATTGCAAGGCAAYACTCTGATGATGCTTCTCATGAAGTAATTTTCTGGACACTTYAAAGGAGAATTGGAGTACACATTTTCATTTTTGGAGTTCTTCAGCACTTTTTGCTTTTTACAGATGTTGCTGCAGCTGTTAARTAATGTACTCAACTTCTGGTACAAACTCAAACAGCCAATTCAGGCAGTAGCTCAAAAGAAACCAGGACAGGTTCTTTCTGGCTCAGGTGGCAGAGRCAGAACTGCTCCCCATCAGATGTAGTGAAAGTCATAACACATTTGCATCTCAGCTAACATAATATATATTTATATAATATGATTTTGAAGAGMGAAGGAGAGGCAGCTGAGAATGAGAGAAATACATTGCAGGATTATTTTGGGTTTTTTTTTCTAAGAATAAGTTATTGTTTTTCCTGACATATTTGGTAGGCAGAACAAGGAATCATCTAACTTATCCCTGCTTGTAGGTCAAATTCATTGTAACTAGACTAGATTAATAATAGACTTGATACTAAATTATCTACAGATGTTCAAATAAGGTTTTCAAGGCTAGATTACCTGAAATACACAGAAAAATGTTAGATTCTCACTGGTTTTGTTGCCTAACACAGCCAAAGTTGGAAAGCAGAACTTAATGAATAGAAAGCTGAGAAGAAAATATTACAAATTATGCCAGTTATCTTCCTACTCTTTGTTCATGTGTAGAGTCTGGAAGGATCACAGGCAGTCAGGCTGTCCCAGCTGATGTGGATACTGTGAGTACAGAAAACAAACTTGTTCTGATAGGGAAACATGTATATTTGTAATTTATGCTTTTACCTTGATTGATTGATTGATTGATTGATTGATTGATTGATTGATTGATCGATCAATATTCTGTTTTGATAACAGTTAACTTTATCACAGACTAATCTTTAATTAAACCAGATAGTGAAAGAGCAATGCATTCAAAGGTTTTAACCACCTGAATGGTGCAAAATTATGTTGTTTGCACTTCAAATATACCACAAAAAAAGGTAATTTTGGATCAAACCAGGAATGTTCTATTTAGTTATTAACAATCTAGGAAGACAATCATGYGACAGCCATAACAGGCTGGGTATTTTTCAGTGATATGAGGACAGAGAAGGTCAGACAGAAGCAGCATACAAGCTAGAATATAAATTTTACAAAAAATCCTGGATCCGTGCCCTTACTCAACTTCTAGTAAAGTACAGAATTTAATTTTGGGTTTTTGTTGAACCTGTTCCCTTCTACAGGCAACCCCAGAAAAGGATGTAACAGGAATTGTGAAACCCTATTTTACAAATCTCCAGGAGCCCGTATCAATGAAGTACTGTATCTGGGCACCCTKACAGCAAAGGTAAAAACTAAACTTTTCTCTTTAAAGATAAAGAAACAAACAAAAAAAAGTACCACTAACATACTGAAACCAAACAGGAAAATTTTAATATCCTTCTCCTCTTATTTGCCAAGGAATAGGGAAAGAAATAAGGAAGAAGAGCAGTAGCTCAGCACAGATTCACTCAGCTTTATCTCACTATTTACCTTTTCTGACAAAGAGTCATCCAACTCTTGCTAYTCTGTTCAAAGCTGCCAATGGAAAGAAAGATTTTTCCTGGGGAGGAAGATCTCCAGGGGAAGCAGTGAAAAAACATGAGAGGAGGAATCTGCAAGAATTCACTCCCACCCATCTRCAGGAGATTCCTAGAAGCATTGTTATCTGAAGGTTTCCAAAAACCCAGTCCACTTTTCAAAGGCAAGGTCAATTCTGGCAGGTTGATTTTAAAGCAACAATGGTGTCTAGCTGGAATCTCTCACAAGGTTGGAATGTTAGAAATAGGCCCAGGAGATAGGGTTTAATGTACAAAATGCAGGTGAGGCAGCCAGAAAGACATGATGAATGCAATTTATCACAGGGCTCTGCAATTTATCACGATGGAATCACAGGAAACAAGCAAAGCAGAGAAGTAGACAGATAGACTAGAAAGACTGAGATTCTCTGTGCATGGAACTTCTTTGAAATATGCCAAGGAAATTACAAGTTACATGTTCAGATTTTCAAAAAATATTTTACTGATGGAATGGAGCTGTATGTTTCTAGGTTTGGCATCCTTTTCCCCAGAAAAGAAAAATATGTTTTATTCTGAAGAATGAAAAAAGCTGAAATTGTAGGACCCTGTTTAGCTTCATTTTGGTTTTAATCCCCTTCTAGAGCAGGTCTGGATACATGCCAGGAGGTAGGGGTTTCCATGTGCAAACAAAGAGCCTGMACTTCCCAGCTACCCTCCTCTGCTCATTTTTCAAGTTCAGGTGCACGAAAGTCCACRCACAGAAGCAATTTCAATCTGTGAGCTCCTTTTGACAATGTGCAAGTGATCCAAATGTGCTCACAGCATATCACACCGTTTTTGTGGGCGCCTTTCTCAAAACAGCTCTGCTCTATCGAGGTAACAGCTCTGAGTTTTACAGCAGCAGTGCTGAGCAATAGCGGGGTCCAGAGCGTTGCTGCCGTGCTGGGTATTCCCCACCACCTGCAAAGCGGGGCCCTTGCAGCTCTCAAAACAGTGCATGTACTATTTAAATTGCTTCACTGGGAGGAGAATTATGTGTTTTGCAACGCCTCAGGACAATGAGCCAAAGGAACTATAGAATATGAGCTCGGYGTTAGAGCCGGAGCCCTGCAATGCTCTGCTTTGTGTGTGCTTTAGCCTGCTATGTAACATTACTTTTACATTAACATTTGTGGTTCCTTTTTTATGCACTCCAGCTTCACCATGCTTCCCCCTTTATATTTAACAGTCAGAATCCTATGATCCAACCAGGGTGGCATGTTCAAAGCTTTACTTCTTTTTAGCACTGATTAAAAAATAAAACAGGCAAAAAAAMCCCCTCAGAGTATTGAACGAGCTTACTTCAAATAGCTTTTATTAACACTAGGACAAGACTATAGCCAAAGAATTATACAAAACACAAAACAAAAGGGATTTTAACAACTTGGTTGAAGACTATTTCACGCCAATCCAATGCTCATATATCTATAATCAACAAAGTTCTGGAGCACAATATTACTTAACATTACTCATTGGATACTTTCAGATACAAAAATGTATCAGGAGTAATAACAATGGTTCCTTTTACTCATATGGAAATATTACTATTGACCTTTAAAAACGTTGCCCTCTGGGTCAGTCCCACTGATGCTTTACCCCTTAGAATCTGCTCTGCCTGGAAAGACAAATTACAGATAAACTTTCAGAGCTCTGAGCAAAAGGACTGGTTTTTATCATGGAAACAGATAGCAACATCAATTTCCCAAGGAAAAAAAATAGACATTTCAGCTGTGCATCCCTAGACCAAAAAGTCAGTCTTGTAAAAGCCCATGGCAGTAAGYTTGCTTTGAAAGCCTTAGTTATGACTTCACCAGGTATTGCTTTATGCTTTTCTACTGCATCCTAACTTGGAATATTAAGCCAATCAGGAAATTTAAAATAGCAGTAAACTAAGCAGCAAGAGATATGAGTATGAACTTGTTCCCCYAACACATGACATAAACACACTTGTGAAGCCAATAGAATAGATCCACCACAGTCAATGTTCTTTCAGATAGACTTTTCTAGCAGCAGAACTCACACTTCATGTCAGAAAAAGGTGTGGGCAATCTCAGATTTTTCTTAGAGTTTTGTGTGGCTGAGCACAAAGCTCAGGTTTCCTCCTCTAACTGCCTCCCAAATATTAGCCAAAGCCTATTAGAGGAGGGATTTAAGTGGCCTTTGAATCAGGACRCCCTATGCTCTGCTGCTGCAAACATCCCTCTGGCTATGCAGCTGTACCACAGGAAGGGGGTGATGTGTGGAGATCTGGGCACAGAATCCCTCTCACTGCACAGTACCAGCAGCACTGCTTGCCTGCATCGTTTGTCTTTACATCAGCCCCACAGATGCATGTATTTGTTACAAATCACCTTTATAAATGACAGCCCAACTCTCAGTGTGCTAATTGACATCCAAAAAGCAGTATCTTTGGTGGTGCAGAATAATTTCTATTTTGCTATAATCTATTCTAATATGCTGAACCACAGAGCATGGCACTAGAGCAGGATGAAGGATTGTGCAGGAGAGATGYAACTGAGAGCTGCTGGAACATCCCTTTTGGTCTTCACTCTCTGTAGTGTGTGATTTACTAGTGATTAGAACTGAGCTCGTAACAAGATGTCATGGGGCAAAACCCTTTTGGATCAAGTGAAAAAATGACATTGTTAAAATCAAAATGGGTCTCTTTTGAGGTTAGAGAGGAATGCAAGTTTCACAATTTCTTTTTTTTTTTAACAGTCAGCAGACAGCCAGCTAAATASTACTCTTAAAATACCGCTGCAGTTTGGATCTGTTACAAAAATGAAGCATTTAATTGCTGCAAGAAGTGACAATGATAAGCTACTCTCATTCCCACACCAAGGGCAGGAGAATCTGTCAGAAAAGACAGACTTTTTTTAGGTGGTTTTCTATGTGTTATAAGGGTGAATTCAATWACAGGTACAAAAACAAAGCAAGTGACGAAGAAAAATCTTAAATAATAATTTAGAACCCATACTCCTTCATATTCAGGATGAAAAGCAAGTAGCAGAAACTTGATTTAAGAGAKATTCTTTCCTGGCAGGTTCAACACACCACATGCCCCCTCCCCAGGTACATATTCTGTTTTATTTCCATATGGAGTCTGTAAAAAGAAAAAAAAAAAATACAGTGATTCACAAAGCTCTATTGTGACCTTTAAAAAGCTTTAAAAATAAAACAACCATGCACTGCTATGCTTCTGGAAAGGCCACTATTGAGAAAAAAAAAAAAATTCCCCATCAGTCATGTTATGGTGTGTCTGCTGGGGGCTGAGAACTTCTTGGGCAAATGCACAGTACACACATCAGGGCAGCACACACGGCTGCTGCTGCTGCTGCTGCTGCTTAGGAGAGAAAATAGTCCAGCCAGGTTCAGATCTGCATGTGTGTGGGCATGCTGGTGGGACAGAGGGGCTTTTCCCAAAGAATAAATGCTTGCTGAGTACCTCCTTGCCCCTGCAAGCTAATAGGAGTTAGTTGTCTTACAGCCATCAGYGCCTTTGGAAAAGTTCCCTCTAATTCTTCGTCCCAGACACATTGCCCTGAAAGTGTCCTGCTGTCTGTCTGYAAAAATTAGCCAGTCTCTACATTCTTGTTCTCTACAGGACCTCTGGTGTTGGCTGCAGCAAAACCTTTCTAATATTTCATCTCCGGTTATGACTCTCAGCTTTTCAGAGAGGCTGCACTTAGAGAAGACACCAACTAAAATACCACACACTCTAGAGAGGGGTCCTTTTGGCCACTTATATTCAGCTGGCAGCATGTTGTTGACYTTTTTGCAAAGTAAAGGCATAGCCATCTTCATTTGTGTAACATTTTCCATATCTTTCATGATGTTTTTTTTAAGATAGCTTAAGGATTTTACTTTCCTCAGATTCACTTGCTTGAAATTAGTTGTTTCACTTACACTGAGTGTAAAATTAAGAAGGTACATGGTTAAAAAAAGGGAACAATTCTGTCATCTTTACACTGGCAAAATTCCCATGAACTTTGATTACCCACTAGAAATGTTGCCTGAAAAGAGATCATATAATCAAGCTGCAAATTATATTAAAACTAAATGAGCACATGCAGAATTCCTGCACAGAGTCCAAAAATGAAGTGCAAGACATTCTTAGGTTTCAGCAGATCTGAGATGTGCTGTTCCTCACTGCTCTTACTCCACCCCAGGTAAGAGCCCTAAGCTGGATAAAAACCATTATTTTCTTGATATCCTGAGACATGYCTCTTTTCAGTTTTCAGTTTGTAYTATGAATTGAAGGACTTAGGATTACAAGAATTATATGAGAAAAGCGTAGTAATACAAGAAAAGCCCCACTGAGCTTAATACTTAGTCTCTAATGCTGGAGAAGAAAATGAACTGGAGGAAGCATGTTAGTGGGACTTGCTGCTGAGGAATCTCTCACTCTGGCAGTTGGTGACTCTGGCACAGGGGCAGAGGGCAAATTACTGCAGGATTCCCCTGTGAAGCAAAGATTTGCTGCCAATGGCAATGGCAGCCAGGGGTGGGGGAACTGTGGGATGTCCTTGCACCTGCCTGCAGCCCCCGTGTCACCAGCACCGGGCAGAGAGTCACCCTGGCTCYCAGTGCTCCCTGCCTGCTCCTCAGCTTCACCTTCCCCATGGAATCACACACAGAAACCACCTTTATCCCACTTGTTTATGTATTTCAGCTTGGTTTCAGATGTAATCTAAGCTCAGACATACATGTTTTGGCAGCCAACTTGAAATATCTGCGACTGAATTTTCAGAGGTGTCAATCTCTCTAGCCTAAGGGAGAGGTCTGTGGGAGATGTGAGACTCTGATGTTTCCACAAAAACAGCTCCTAAGCCTCTGAATTTTTACATTTGAAACATGCAATTCATGCATCTTTCTGAAATTCTTACACTCTGCTTTTGAATCCAGTAAAAACTGGGCATTTTTAAAAGTGTCTATGTGAATATTTCCCTGGAAGTATGACTAAAATTGCTGGAAGATATTTTAACTCTAGTCCATGGGGAGCTATTGATGGTAATAAAAAATACTGTGAGAAGAGAACAGCAGCAAGTGAAACTGCCCTCTCAGAAAGCCCAGGTCTGCTTTGAAGGAAGTGTTGATATTCACCATAAGCCTCAATCATTTCCCAGAGGGCGTTATGATGACTTGGAATGACATAATCAAAAAGCAATGGTGTTCTTGACTTAAAGGGGAAAAGAAAAGCAGGGCCTGATCCATCACCCATTGAAATCAAAGAGGACTTTGCTGTTGGCTTCAGGGAGAACAGAGTTCTGGACACAATCTGTGTGCAGTTTATTAGCACACTTGTTTATCCAAACGATCCTAACTTCAACCAAGAGCAYGTCTAGATATCTGTCCGGGACTACATCTGTACAAATGTGTAAGTGCGAGTTTATAATGTGGTTTAATTCAAATTATTCTGGCACTTTAAAAGCATTTCCAGCTACAAAAGACAGCTTTAGCTGATTTGCACCCCAAAATACAGAGTTTGATTGGAAAAGCTTGTAACTCACATTTCAAGTTGCAATTCATATTCAATTTCATGCAAGCTAAGGACACAAACAGATTTTAGGGTTAATTTTAAAATGACGTTACCATGCGCTCAATTAAAATTTTGCAGCCATTATTTCAAAATGTGAAAAGCTCTACAAATTATCCAACTCATCAGCTAGAGCCCTTGGTTTCCTTGAAGGGAAATTTCTTTGATGACCATAACAWAATTGCAGTAAATGGCAAGTAAGATTGCCGTCACGAGTCTGCTGAAAATGCAGGAGGAACTCCTGATTGCTTTAGTCATGTGAACAGCCCCTCCAGAGCAGCCCAAAGTCAGGCAAGGTGGCTTACACCAGGAGTTAATTTACCCTGCTGGGACTCTTTGCATTACTAAAATAAGCATGGTTTTGGCTTGTAAATGGGGGGTAGAATTTTATTTCACTTTCTGAGGGCCAGAATTTTATTTCCCTTTCTAAGGGGCATACATTCGTTTTAGAGTAAACCTTTCAGAATAAAAGTTTACTTCACGTTATAGGAAATGACATCCCTTTTTTTAGATTCCCCTTTTCAAAGCATGCCTCAGATTTCTAACTTGTAGTGGAGAGCTTTGGTATAAGTAATAAAAGTCTTTAAAATTAAAATGCTAATCGTAAACAAACCCAAATGCATGAAAGATATAGTCTGACTGCATAACAAAAGAGAATTATATAATTCTATTTGAGTGAAATCTTTCATCTTTGATTTACAGGTTTGAGTCTGCCTATAACTGAAACCATATTGTTCCATATCTTTCATATCATGGCCTTCCCCAAAATCTTGTTTTAATTAAGGTTCCTTTCAGATTTCAGAATAAAAAGCATGACAGTCTTCACTTATGGCTTTAATATATATCTCTTTTTTTTCTTAAATTTGGAAAATATATAAAAAATGAACATCACTTGCTTTTAAAAGCCGAGCAAGCTATCAAATACTGCAAGCTGAATACTTCAAGGTATCTCCCAGGGTTCATTAGGTGAGAAAGTTGTAAACAAAATAAAAGTTACTGTAGCAGAGTTTTGTTCATTTGAAGTACTCTCAYATACATGCCCCATCTCTCTCTCTGACAGTAAGGCAACACGTGTAACAGTTTAAGCGTTCATTATCAGCTAAAGGCACAACTCTATGTTACGTTCTCAAACATGGAATYAAACAGCTAAAGTCACATTGCAGGGAGATCTTGCTGCACTTTGGGGATCTAAAATAAAGCCTAAACCCTTTGAAGCTTCGTAAGCAACATCAGTTCTCTTGGTGCAGGACTACATAAAAGAATCAGTTCGTATTCACGGCACGACCTGTAAAAAACACTCGCACACAACCTCCACAGAAACACCTGAGCTTCAAATGAGCTGCACGCGGTTACTGAAGGTCGCTGCTTTGGAGTCAGAACGCGGAAACATTTCAGAACAAACTAAAAACACGTTTGAAAAACTACCCATACTTGATCTCTGCTGCACATATGGTGAGCGCTACTGTCAACTACAGAGGGTACAGCACTTTTTCTTAAAGGCAAAAGATCGCTCGTTTTAGAGAATCGTGAACGYGTTTTTATGATACAAAAGATTACATGAAATGGGGAGGGATGGCCAGGAACAGGGAAAAGAAAATAAAGCACCACCAAGCACAGTACTTCGGGGGATTTATAGTACAATAAGAAGTGCTTTCCCTTTAGCTAAAATCCCTCATCATAATTTAAACACTTTTCACTTATTCAGCTAAGAATTCATTACAGGAGGTTAAAAAATAGCACGTAAAATAAGGGTGGGGTTTTTTTCTTCATTACAGAGAGCAAAGAAAACAAATTCTATTAACAATTTAACACAGTATGAAAAAAATTATCCAGTAAAAAGTGTCAGAAAGTGATTCATGGAGTTCACAGAGTATGTTGCTGGCTGTTGCAATTCTCCTATCTATAATCTATCATGTAGAATTTTGCAATACTCTATTTCACAATTTGTGTTGGTGAGCGGGTCAAACAGCATAAAAAAAGCATGCTCTAGGCTCTTTCTCCCAAGCCCGTTTTGCTGTAACTCTAGAATTGTAGCGGTTACATTTAAGGAATCTTTCGGGCTCTTTCAAGTCCATCCAAAGAACAAGTGAAGCTGCTATTCAGAGTTTTGTGCCCAGTGTTTATGTTCCATCTGATCTGTGCCACCCAAGAAGCAGACAAGACATGTCTGAGGGTGCTTTGGGGGATACACAATGATGTCACCCACAGGAAATATCAGGGAGGACTTGGCACTTCACAAGGCTGGCTCTTCTTCCATGGGCTCACCAGCAGCTCTGTAAAAATAAACAGGCAATCAGAATACGGCACAAGAGTACACAATGACATTGTAGATTTTCATGCATAATCAAAGCTGATTTTTCAGCTCTCTCAGATGTTTATTTGTGTTATTCAGCTATCCATAAATAGAGTTTCTTTCCTAGGAAGTATAAACAAATGTCAAGTGGAAAAACATTTTAGATCCAAGCAATCACTGAAAATGTTCCTGTTTATATTAAAATATGTCAGAATATTTTATAACATTTTGTCCAGAAATGTACATGCTTTGTGTCAACAGAATCAAATAATTTCATGAAAAAAATAGCTGTGATACTTTTATTTTACAAGYTTTTGCAACTAAAAATACATTCATTTATTTTTTCAAGTGGGGCCATACCATTAAAGTATAAGAGTTCACTGATAGCCAAGAAGTATTTCCTCTGAGGTTCTTCTCCGGTCCCCTAGTTTTTGATTTTGTGTTTTCATAAACACACGGCCTGCCTGCCTGCAACTTTTGAGACTAAATTCTGAACCTGATCAGCAGATCACTCTCAAAGGAAAGGCATCTATTAATTATATCAAATCAGATTATATGTATATCTTTTATTTGAAAACCTCCAGKAAATTATCAGCTTAGGCAAGATGAGCTCTTTAAAACAACCAATAAGATAATGATGAGGACACACATGCTGAGCTGACGTCAAGCCTTGCAATTCCTCGTATCTGATAAGCTACTGCACCTGAGGAATATGATGACAATCAAAATGGAAAGCTTCTACAATTATGGAGAGGCCTCACTGTTGAAGGGCAAAGAATTTGGACAGAAACCACTTTTCATCTCGGTCTGTCAGCCTTAAGAACTGCTTTAAAATAGTAACTTCAAGCAATTTTGAAATGAGGGGAGAAAAGTAAATGTAAATTGATAAATGAGATGTTTACCAGTTAATTCTTGTAAGCCAGTATAATAACTRGGTTCAGTAAAACATTCCTCAGAAAGCACAAATTCATGAGATCCCATGGAAAAAAAAGTAATTAATGGGGGCTTGCTTGGGCTTTGATAGTTTATTCAGCAGGGAAGCCAGAGAATTTTAAATGTATCTGGAATTTATTAAAGTCTTTCCCAATGAAAAAAAATCAGCAATACGTCTTTAAATTATTTTATACAGGTTATTCCTTTATGATTTGGAATGCACACAGCTAATATGTTGAAAAATATGTCAAGTGAATGACATATGAAAAAGATGATGTCTTTCAGACTAATCACTTTCCAAAGGGTATTGGACCCTAAAAGACGATTAATCTATAAATCTCAAACCTTTAGCTCCTCACCACATGGTGGGGAATGTTTCCTGTGTACAGTAACCACTGTGGCTCTGTAATTTCTGAAAGGTGAGGTGAAGCCCTTGTGCATTCCCTCTTTCCCCGCTCTTGCTTTGTCCCGGCTTTCAGCACAGAGCACACAAAGGCAGTCAGGGTGAGATGGAGCCCAGGCTGCTGCTGAGGTGCTCAGGGTAACAAAGGATCACACACCAGGTGARGAATTCATTCTGATGGTGCACCTTGCTGTTGTGCTGACCACACACCTCCATTTTCTCCAGACACTTTTGGGAAACCTCAAAGTCCTCTGGCATAACACAGAGGGTCAATAAGCCCTTATCAAACATCCAGAACCTTATGGATCTGCCTGGAAAGGATAAGGCTCCTGGAAAGGATAATTTGGAAGATGAAATGAAAGCTCTGTTTTTAGATTTTGCTGTAAGCGAATGAGAAACAACACTAGATTCACTRTGTCAATAGATTTTGACTGGATATTGACAGATCAGGAAGGGGTGAAACTGTGGAAAATCTCTGGAAATAACAGCAGGGGTCTGTCTATTTATAGGAATCTAGGGAAGCAATACATGAAACAATCTGCTCACATGTGCTGGCCTTCTGGGACTGGCATTCTCATGACCACAGTACAATTAAGGATCCTACTTAGGTCTTTCTTCATTGGGAAATTTTTCACTGACAAAGGTGTTTCCGAGGGCCAGGAGCAGTCCTCACTGATCTTGAGTGTTATATTCTAATATATTCCAATATATTCCAGCAACAGGCCAGATATATTCRGCATGAGCCAGAGCATAAGCACCAATAATAATTTTTACATAAAAGTGCCAGATGCAAGGTCCTACTTAGGAAAGGGAGATAAAGTTAGAGGGTCATGGCATTCCAGCTTTTGTCTCTCAGTGTGGGTACTCTCACAGAATTCTTCAGTCYCCTTTTGAAGACYTATGAGTATGCTTTAACTTCATTTTATTAGTGTCAGAGAAGTCACTGGATCTATCCAGTGGTTTATCATTAAAAACCACTTRGTTCTGTGACATAACAGATCAGTCWAGAGSTTTGTGAGAGCCAGGACTATGTTAGGSCCCACARAAMARAGACAAAAACACTGTAAATCCCATAGCACTGAGCAGAGAGTCAATATATACCCATTYTGACAAAATCAAAAGTTGTCAAAAGAAAAATCRAGGGGGGCAGAGTCTGACAGGCCAAATTTGTGTTACTTCAGCTTTGTCACTGTTAGTTACATCAGTTCAGTCACTATTCCTGTAGCTGACAGGAAGTTGGCACAAAAACATAAACCAGGCAGAACCTCCATCCCATGYTGTATGCTCTGAGCAGTTCCTCGAGATGCAGCTGTGAGCTCAGGTCTGATCTAAACCAATTCCATGCAGYTGGCAAACTCAGAAAGGCACCAATTGAGATTGTAATGATTAGAGAACCACAACTGTGATTTTTCTCTAAGGCTTCACTGTGGCTCATTTAAACTGCAACTTCCTAGGAGCTGAGCCTTCCTGCTTCCACTTTGGTGTGCTGCAAAAATGCTCATCTTTAGCTCTCTAAATGCAGAATCTGACTATGGCAGAATGAATTAATCTCTTTGTAGTTAACACTAAACAAAATGTTTCTGTTTAAACCTCAAAACAAAATAAATAGATGAGGTAAAAATCCTGCCGTATGGATAAAATCTGGCAAAACATGTGAMCTCTTAAATATTGTTCTGTGGCAATTGAGAATAACTGTTATTAATGAGAAAATTATTAAAACTAATTAATATCTACCATTTAAAGAAAGGCAGTATTTAAGAATGTAGACAAATACAGTACATCATCCAAAAAAGAAAATGTTTCTCTTACATGATTTTTAAAATTAGAATTACAGAGATTACTCTTAGCTACATCATCACACACATAAAAATAAAAATTCAAGGTATGTTTCCAAGTCCTAGGAACTGCTGAACAAAAGATAGATTTTTCTGGCATGGTATGGCTGTTCTATGCCATAATCTGTTCTTAATTTAACTCAGCTGTCTCAGGGAAGATCATTGTAATTGAAAAGTGATATTTTGGTAGCAAAGAGCTGGGCAAAAAGAGGTACATTTCTATATCATAGAGGTGATTTGGGGAGTATCTAAAGACATTATATGAGATTCTGAGTAAGTGTATATCCTAGTAAAAATGGACTTTGTGGGGATCAAAGAGAAGGGAACTAAAAGTGAAACCCATCCTAGTTTAAGAGCAGAATAAGGTAACTACATGTATGGTCTCAAAGGAGGAAATAATGTCCAAATAAGGCAAATTAAATAAAATATAAACTCTGGCAAGTAAAACTTAAACCCTCAATGAAGCAAACCAAAGGAAAGTCTGAAGAGCAACATATTAAAGGCATAAAAGCTAATAATAAAAAGATCTTTCAAAATACATCAGAAGAAGTGATCAAAGCATAAAAGGAGCATCAAGGAAGGTAGACCACAAAAGCAAAATGAACTATTTATATCTGGGTTCACTGGAGAAGTGTCAGTGAGATTTTATTACTTGCAGATGAACTATCCTAAACTGAATCAGCACTAGAATGAACTGATACACCAAACATTGCGAAATTTCGAAGAGCAGATGATATTTGTCTGCTAAGTTCCAGGGGAATACGATTAGGATGTTGTTAAAGAAATAGTTATTGAGCATATTCTACAGCTTAACTCAGCAAGGGGTAGAGAAGGCAAGAAATGCAGTTCCCCTTTTGAAAACCACAGGAGATACAGCAAGCCTGTATGGCAAAATTGAAAGCAGCTATTATCAGTGATGGAATCAGTAGGCATTTGGGTAACAGGCATTTGGGTAAGAGTTAGATATTAACACTTATAAAGGTGAAAAGCCTTTCAAATTTATTAGAAGTTTCTGAAGGAAATTAGGAAAGATGAATCAAGTGATATCCCTGTGCAAAGAAGGTCTTCCAACAATTTTATCCAAGGACTTTTTTATCCAAGAAGAACSTAGGTTGTTGGGAGAAGGTTCTTTCATGCATTAACAATACATCAAAAGCAGGAAACCGATAATAATATTGGTGAATTTTCACCATGGAAGAATTTTCCAGAGCATCTCAAAAAGACTAGGCAGACCACCAGTAGATTTGGGTGATGATGTTTGCTGATGATGCCAAATTGCCAATACTAGTCAGTTCTAAGGCCCATAACATCATTTCTGTATGGAAAAGAAAGCAAACTTTTCAAAAAGAACAAAAACRAAGAACACACAAAATGGGAGAAGACAGCTTTAACTGTTTTAACAGTAAAGGCTATGACTGAGAGCTTGGAGTTCATGGTAGAGGAGCAGAGAGCCACAGAAACAAAACATCCCCTATATTAAACTACTGTGTAAATCCACAATGTGCCTAGCACCTGGAGTCATGCATGCAGCCCTTATTCCATCTCAAGGAAACTACAAAAAATACAGAGAGCAGCAAAAATCATCAAAGGTAAGAAATTATTTTCATACCAGGAGGAATATGGAGTCTTGAGAAGTTCAAGCCTTTAAAACTAAAAATAGGACAAAGATGGTGAGTAAGAAAAGAAGTGGTTTTCTTTCTCACAACACAAGACCTAGGGGTTCCCCAGTGATCTTATCAGTTAAAAAGTAAAAGAAGTGCARTGCCTGATGAGGCTGTGGGATTCACTACCCAAGTGCCAGAGGTGTAAGTCGGTTCAAAAAAATTTGAAAAAGTTTATGCCTGTGTAAGTATCCTCAAGGCTTTTAGACAGGATGGGTCAGCTACAGCTGTTGAGATCTATCAACTCACCAGGGCAAGGGTGGCTCTCACCCTCCTCTACTCCTGGTTCTCTTCCTTTGCACCCACCACAGGGGATGAGAAGAAGGTGGGCAAGATAAGGRTGCAGGCTGACCTGGGAAAGCTGCTCTGCAGCTCCTGAGCCTGGATGGGATTGCAGGTCCTGTTGCAACACCAGGTAGGTGTTGTGTACTCAGCACAGCTGGGGCAGATATCCAAATAATGAAATGCTAGGGGAAGCTTTATAAGTTGATAGACAAATATGGCAAGTGACCCTAAATGGCAGCTCGCTGCACCCCCTGATCCAACCATTTGCCCTAATATACAATATTATAATGTAATTTGACTGAAACTGCAACTGGTAGCTCTGTAACACTAAGAGTAAAATCATACTTTGTTTTCATTTCCATTTGAGTAAAATCTATGCTCAGCTGAATCAGAGCCATAAAGTCGAATTCTGATAAATGTCATTTTCAAGATTTACTGTTTCCTGTAAAAATAGTAAGTGCAAGAGATCTCAGATCTCCCTCCACACCCTTTTCTTTTTCCATTTTAAGAAGAAACATACAGAAGTTTTAATGTATCAGGGACAGCACTGTGCTGAATATTTTCACAGCACGATTTCTGAAACAGATGTCTGGCCAAAGCAAAATTCTAATCAGCTAAATCTGTATCTCACAGGGAATAAACAGTTATCAACACATAAAAGTTCTGGTAGTTAGAAATGTTCTATAGGACATGCCAGTTCCTTTAACTGCATCTCTATTTAAAGCTGTTAGCATCATACATGTTTTCTTTCCTATCCACAAACTCTTTTTTCTATATCTGTACTCTTCCAAAGTCTATAATCAAGATTCAGTTGGACCTTAAAATGCAGAGTTATGCTTTGGTAAAATAAAACACAAAAAGCGTAGCAGCTTTTCACGTTTTTCTTCATTTACCCTGCCAGAGAAAATCAAGCAAAAAAAATAATCGGCACTGTCACTTGAAGAAAAGAAAGAAAGAGAGAAGAAAGAAATAAAAATACTTAATATGGGCCTTAGCCAGGAGCATTTTATCCATCAGTGGTAAATGAGTCAGATATGAGTTGGCCAGGAAAAGAGCTGCTTTACTCAAAATCTGAATTTAAAGTGAGTCATCTCACTCCAACACCAATATATCCTCCAACATAACTGGCCAGAGTTTCCCGCAAAGAGACTCTTGCTGCTGCTCTCTTCATCTGGAGGCCTGACCATCCTGAGCTGAAGTCAACAGGATCTCTGCCATCGAATCAGTGAAACAGGGTTAGAATTGCAGGCCAGAACTATCAGCCTGGCTGACTGTGCTGGGAATTAAGAGGAAACAAATTGACTGCTGGTGTAATGAAGGAACCCTTCAGACTCCCTGTCAGCCATGGTGTTTCCTGTTCTGCTCCCATCCTACCATCACAAACAACTTTCCCAAATGAACACTCAATGCAAAAGCTTGAAACAGGTCTTCAGAAGGTGACCCCGTCTATAACAACAGGAGGAAGGGCACACMTCCTAAGAGGGTCTGAGATCCCCATGATTCCTCACATCCCTGCTGCCCTCTGYTTGCCATGGGAGTGGCTGGAGAAGGAGCATTTAATACACAGCCCTTTATTACAACAAACATTAAAAACCATGAAAAAGCAAAGCTGACCTCATCTCTRTGCCCCTGCTGTTTGTGTTGGTGCGTACCTATGAAATGGATGGCATGTTTATGTGAAAAGAAGCAAATTACACAGAACCCAGAGTGTGCAATGTCYCAGACTCACTCTCTGGACACTCTATGATGGATTTTTATTTACACTCAGAGTGCAGCCAGGTCCTCTCAGGTCTCCTCACAGCTGAGGACTATCAAAATCCAACTTTCAGGGGAAAAAATTTTGTTTCCTTATATTAATCAGGAAGAACACAAAGAAAATGATGCTCAGAAGCCTCAGAAAACCTAACTATCAATTTTGGTCCAGTGGGACAGCATTTTTCTTGTTCTGTCACTCTCTGATGGCAATTTGGCTTCATGTGACTTTTTTGAAGGTTATGAATGTACAAACAGACTTCAGGACGCATGCGTGCGTAGGCTTTTCTTTGTGCTGCTGACAAATGTCTGCAGCACCACAGAAGATGTTCCAAACAAAGTCGTTTTTCCACAAAACAATTAATCACAATGGATTCATCCCTACAAGAGTCCAGAACTGATGAAGTGTAATGAATCTGGCAGCCACATGAATTCCACTTGTGTACATTTCAGCACATCCATTTTTTTCTGTGTTTCTMAGCTCTGCCCTGAAATTCTGTTTTCAGAATGGGGGGAAACTGTCACAGGTTATCACAGTTGGTAAGTAATAAGTACAATAATTAAGTGCAGTGTTAATCAAAGGGATATTTTGCTCAAAACAGGTAGGAGCAGCAGTTGCTCTTGATAGTTGTAGTTTTGAGTGGAGTCACATAGCAAATAAAATTTTTGGTTATTCTCACCAATATAAAAATACACAGAATTAACCATGCCCTTTTCCAGACAATTTRTAGCTTTATTTTGTTTGACTGCATTATTTCCAATTCTTCCACTAAAATTATTTCTATTTCAGAGCTATGCACATGCAAGTAGGCATTTTTCTGTCCCTAGCTAGCAGAAGTCTTATAACAGTCTTATAACTGTCAAAAGTTTATATGAAAACTACATTATKCCTTAGCTGAGCACTGATTAGCACAGTCACAAATCTAAAATACATTGTGTTCATCATGGATTCTTCTCTAAGCTTTGATGAAGTTGTCTGCAATAATAGTAATATAAGAATAGCCAGAGCATATTAAAATATAATTACAATTGGAAAGGTAATTATGAAAATCCTGTGAATTTTACAAGCTCCCTGTGTGTCCCTTTGAGTCAAGCCTCTTAACTCATTGACAGATGATTGTTCCCACTGTTCTGAGGGATGTTCATTCCCAAACATGCCCATAGCTTTGAGCATTGCACAAGTCCCTTGGGCGCCTATCAGTTCAGTTCTGGTTAAAAGACCCAACGTAGGAGACACAAACCAAAGCAAATCAGAAGCAGTCACAATGGAGGAGCCACGGATCTTTCTGGCTCCACTCCCATCACTGCTCCCCCTACCCCCAGCTCCCTCCTTTCTCTGCTGTTGTTCCACACACAGCCTGATGTGCTGATGGGTCTCCTTATAAGGCTTTTTTCATCTTTCCTCCTCCCTCTCGTCTTGTGTGTGTGATGGAACCTGAATGGTTCACTACATTTTGAGTCTTTCTCTACTGGCAAAGACCAGGAATATTTGTCCTTAAAACCATAAATAGCAAACTCCAAAATCTTCTGCAGTGGCTTTTCTGATTATAGATGGCACAGTATTCAGTGGCTATTGATTTTTCTTTTCATGTGTAATTGGCAAAACACACAACAGCACTTACTGCATCATTTTCTCAATATGGAAGTTGAAAGCAATCTTCATTAATGTAAAAAGCAGATGACAAGCTGGAAAAAACAGCATTCTCATTCTTTGCTGGTGTACCTTCATCTTGGTACATGGAAAATGTTGGCCCTAATCCTGGTCAGGGTTGCTTTRAGTTTTATACTGGCACTGTTCCATTTCTTCCCGAGAAATAACTTTTAATGCCTGTTTAATATCATTTAATAATGATTTACTCCATCCTTATTAAATTTATCTGTTTGTTAAACATCTTCCTAGAAAATTAAAACTAAAAGAGATTTGGAAAGTTTCTAATGAGAAGGATATGGTTGATTACACTTGACCATGTCTATTTACCTCATATGGATATTGCACTTTTTATGCAGTAGCAAGCATTAGACATGGGAGGAAAACAAGGTTCTTGCACTAATCATGAACTTTAGTAGAGAAATAGACACACCAAAAAAAAAGAAAAACAAAAAAAAACCAAAACAAAAAAACTGCTAGCATAGAATATCTCTGCTTCCAGTGGCTAAGTGAGAGAACTCAAATCCAGTGAAGAAAAATTCCAGTTATCACAATTAGCAGATAATTTTGAAACAACCCTTAGGCTTCCTTTCTTCTTCATTTCACTTGGGTGGAGTGAAAGYCTTGTTCTCTGCAATAATTTCACACACTTACCTGCTGCCTTCCTGAGGAATACACTGCTCAACATCCACTGAAAGAGAGGCCATAGCAGATACAGTTTCTGTCTCCTCCCTCTCCTGCTTCTGAGACTCAGCCAGAGCACAATCCACTGGCACAGAGTATGGCTCCACTGACTTCCAGTACTTGCCTAAGGAAARCACACATAATAATTTATGGGAATTTTAGCTAGCATGGTGGTATAAGAACAGTAATCACTTAGCTGAACAGAGTGATTATAATTTAAAAACACTGTGGTGTAAGCAGTACAGTTGAAATTTCAGACTGCAGTGAAGARGTCTATTTCTGAACCTGAGAATGCCAAGTTGGAAAGTGTTTTCATTCCAAGAGCTGTGTCACACCCTTCCCCAGAAGGTAATAAACTGGAGGAGTAACACACAGACTAATGAACACAGACTGTCAGGCAGGCTATTGGCTTTATCCACGCAAGGTGATGGGAGTTCAGAGCAGGGTTAATAACTAGAAGCTCTGTTAGAGCACACAGTTGATGCAGAGACAGCAAAATGTAGAAAAATGAACATTGTTGTACAAAGTGCTCACACAGCACTGTCTYGAAAAGGAAAAAAGTCAGAAATGCCAGCTCGGACAGAAGTGGTATTGCCAGAACAATCAGGTTTGTTAGTCCTGGATGTTCTTTCTCCTCCAACCGCAGGGCGTATACTAGAACAATAATTTATTTTAAACATTCATATATGAACTGGCTGTTGCTGGAAAGCTGCCAGGTATCATAAGGAATAGAGCTTTCTGGTTTGCCRTGTAAAAATACAGCAGTGCATTAAAAGTGTGAGTATTTGCAGGTTTCTGCCTGCAACAGAAGAAGYTCATCAAGCAATGCAAAAAATAACGGCATGTGACTCTTCCTAAACAYATGAAATGATCTGCTACTGCAGGACTATTAAGAAACAGGCTGATTATTGGTAACCACATGAACAAGAATTTACATATATATTTCTTACAGTCCAGTAAAACACTGAGCACTCACTAATTGCCAGGTGGATGACACCTGGGAATTAGGAGCTTTGGGAAGTCTGGGAGCTCTGGACCAGAGCTTACTCMGTGTTTAGCAAGAAGCTTTCAGCAGCTGCTGCAGAGGTTGGATCAGGGTACTTATCTGGGAATTAGACGGAGGGTTTCGACAGCTGTGAAAGAGAGGGGATCAAGTAGGGGACCTTTCCAAGGACTAAAAGGAGGATTTTGGCAGCTGGGCAGCAGGCTGAGCTGAGGTGCTTATCCAGAGGGTAGCTGGAGGCTTTGACAGCTGGGAGGCCAGGCCAGCAGTGGTGCTGCCTGTGCTGCAGAAGGGCTGCTGAAAACTCCCTCTTTGGTAACACAGCTCTCAGAACAGTTTCAGGCTTTTGGAAAGATGAACTTTTCCCTCCAGTGAGAAAGCAGCTGTCAATAAAGCCTGAAAATGTCTTTATTCAAAAACATCATTGCAAGATGAAAGCCCGAGTCAATCTTTAAGAACAACCAGTGAGCACGGCCAGAGTGTTTCTTTGAACTCTAATAGTGTGCACGTTTGAGTAGTTAGCAGAATCTTTAAATAACGGGGACCTTCTGGGGATAAAATGTAAAGTGTATTAAGTATCCTACAAAGTTGAGATTAAGTGTTAGGAGGTTGGCTTTGCTCCAAAAACATGAAAGACAGAGCTRAAAAGTTATGTACATAACAGTAGGCTCAATGATTGGAGCCTGGCAAATTTTATAAAAACAAGACAAAAATATTCTCTATTATTWCTGTGCTCAGAGACCATATTCTCTATTCATTAAAAAATACACTAAAAACAAACAAAAAAGTTATATGAGCATTCCACAATGTTCTCACAGATCCTATGTGCAAAAGTCAGTCTTTGCAATATACACCCCATTCAAACCCTATAATTTATGAGCTAAATGTTCACAGAGTGGGTGGGGTTTTTGTTGCAGAAACAGATGTGCAAGAAAATCAAATCTGTTGGCATGGGAATAATACCCCCTCTTGCCTATAAAAGAAATGAACCCATGTTCACTGCTGGAGTTTTCAAGGGCTTTTATWCATAAAATAAAATATTAGTACCCAGCTACCACTGTGTTGCTCTCCTGCAGCAACAATAAAACAGCATCAGTGAGKATTGCTACATCACAGTCGTTCATTCACACACAGGCTTGCACACCAGCTGCCCCCTGGATCCTGACTTTCTTGTAACATTAAAACTCAGGGCCAATTCAAGCATATTAGTGGGCTCTCTGTGCCCATTTAACTGCCCTTCACTCCCARACGATTGGTGATTTTCCTTGTTTCCCTGCACTGAGAGTGTGTTATGAGAGGTGCTTCAGTGAGGGAGAGAGCAGTCAGGCCAGGAAGCAGGTGGCAGCCCAAAMACTGCAGTGGAGGGTCCTGGAGAACAGACCTGCATGGCAGAGTGATTGTGGTTTGTGGGGGAAATGTGTAAGCAGTCCCACTTAGGGACAGCATCCAGGTAGCAGCAGGTACTGCATCCAAAGAGGGCTCTGTGATGCTTTGRAAAAGCAATGATAGGTTTTTCTTTAAAGTCAGAAAACTGTACTTTACAAACACTTGGGGTAAGGAAAAGCTTTCCAAGTTTCTTTTTATCCACGACAACATTGATTTGTTGTACACAAAACACACAGGTCTTGAATGTGTGTTCAGCCAAAAGATTTGCAGGCAAAGTGTTATGGACTGGAGAGACAATCACAGCATGCAGCTGCAAAGGAGCTTTGTTAGGAGGTATGSTGTGGATTGACAATTAAAAGAAGTCAAAAAGCATTGGCTTCAAATTGCATCTATCTCTGAAAATGCCATTTCTACTGTGCTCKACTGGAATGTGAAATTCTACCAGTGCTGTTACATTCATTGAGAAGAACTTGGTGGAGCTCAGGGGAAAGAATGAAGCTTGCTGCTGGTTTCATTCATACAAAACTTGAGCAATCATGGACTGAAAGAAAAAAAAACAAACTAAATCGGTCTTCTAGGTATACTTTGTCTTTCAGCATGAAAATATACTTAAGTCTCCCTCAAAGATTTTTGGGAGCACAGACTATTACCAGGAATAATAAAAGGGAATGCTTTTGTCACTGTTATAGGCATTTGTAGCTGCCTTTCATAGATAGATTTGGATATGCTGTACCGAGGTTTGCTTGAAAAAAAATGTTTGCTAGTGAACAGGATTGTTTAGAAATAGCCTCTTACATGGGTGTGGAAACAACTAATTCCAAATGGATTACATTTCCAAAGGAGCTTTGGATCACTGTCATACAAAACATTGATACAAATTCTGTTCTAGTTAGGAAAAAAAAAAACAACAAGCATTGTAGCTTCAAGATTTTGCAAAAAGCACAGAGGAGGGGYTCATTTGGTATAAAATATTGCTAATATTCATTATGAAAGTTGGATCACAGAAATACAAACCCAATATAGATGAAAGCAAAGATCCAAACAAATCAGGCTTTCTCAGTACCTCTTGAGGTGCTACTCAACAGCCTGTACTGTCCAGCCTGCGTAACTCCCTAAAATATTGAACRAATACTTGCTTCTCTTAGGTCTAATTAGTATACATCACAAAACTGCATTGGGCTTCCTCAGGACTCCTTTCTGTCATCCAAGCATAGTCCTTTCTAATACTTGGTCTCTCTCCAGACAAAATGAGGTAAACATAACTTGTTAGGTAGTAACTGCTAGAAAAGGCAGAATGTTGTGTGTAACTAACTCCAAGCCCTGAGCAGCCTGACTTAGGTTTCAGAACAGCCCACTGGACTGCATACAGTACCAGCTCAGCTGAAATCTAATTGAGACAAAATTAAGTCATTCTGCAGAGCTCTAGACAATGTTTTCAGATTTACACTATATATTTGTTCCTAAATCCRCACCTTCTCTCTCAACTACAATAATTTGTGTGCATTCCTACCCTTTCTTTTGTTTGTCTGTTTCTCAATTCACCATTTTTTTGGATTTCAAATTCATTTTCAATTACAGACATGTTTGATTTCCAGCAGAATTKCATTTCCTTTCCTTATGTCTGTGGTCTGTAACCTCCTGCCCTTGTTATCATTTGCAAATCTGTTCTATCTTGCACAGTACAYGAATCTCCTAAACTTGCTGACTCCTTTGAGATCATTAGCAGCTTATGAACAGAGAATTTTAACTCATGAACTACCTGAGAATACTCCAMTCAGCAAAATGAACTTATTGGAATATATTATACACAGTTGTTTTAAAGTATTTGCATATCTAGGTGTCTACTGAATATGCATGATGGAATACATACCTACAATTAATTATCTTTGTCACTTTACAACCAAAATCAGATTGAGAAGTACTGCATGAATTGGACACAGCATCCCTTTTAAAAACTGCATTTATTTTATGCAGATGAATCCCAATCATTTGTGGTTCATCTCAAATGAAGGAAAACATTTGTTATTAATTTGTTATTCTTAAGGAGCCAGAAAACAGTAGAAGTCAGGAAGCTCCCACTGCCTCAGTAAAATGGCAGAGAGCAGAAGATTAGAGAATTTTAGGCAAGTGTGCTCAGTGGGATTTAAGCAATTGATGGCATAAAGTTCTTCAGTGAGAAAATGCCCTAAAGCATCTGGGTGGTTAAGGGCTGGGGTCAGAGCACACAAGTGAAGCAATAATGTACCCTTTGTCTCAGAAACAATAAAATTATGTATTTTTTAGCACTGTWCCATGGATCAGTGCCCATTCTGAACTTTTTAGCTTTATCTCAAGTTATGAATCTCATAGTAAGTACCTTGTAAAGGGCTGCAAAACCAGAATCTGAAAAGACTATTTGTTAGAGCTCTGATTTACCTGTCTGTTCCTGACCCTCACTGACAAACATCTATTTCATCCAATCTCCTCTGGAATGAAAAGATTTGGGAATATCCAGGAACCAGAAATGGTTAAATTATTTTAATGGGTTACTTTGTCAAGGCTAAATACATGGCAGAAACAAAGATATGCCAAAGAAATAAAAATAAAAGCATATATATATATATATATATATATATATATAAAAGCATCTATATATATATAAATTTTAGACACAGCATGCCAATTTATACATAACACATTTGCCCACTCTTTCCTCTGAAACAATGTCTATGACATTAATTAATAATAAAAAAATAACCCCAAACCCACTAACCCACCAACTCAAACTGAGAAACATACTTTGAATTTCAGTGGTCTTTTTTAAAGAAGCTATTGCATTCATATTGGGGATTTGGTGCACAATATCTTCCGGGAGAGGCTCCAGCTGAAAGAATAGAATAGAATAATATAAATATTCAAGAAGCCACAGGGACATAAAACAAACTGAAACAATCTAATCCTCAGGAAAAGCTCAGCCCAAGAACTGGTTAATATGTTGCTGGTATCAGTTCTAAATGTATAGTCATGATTTTGTTTTTTGTTTTCCAGCCATGTAATTGAATTCCAAGGGGCTTTTCTATTGGCTGCAAAACTAATCTATGGAGTCTCTGAAGCAGGTGCATGTCTGTGTATTATTCATTAAAAAAATGCTAGTTATTTGTGTAATTTTTGTAGGTTCCTCACAAACCAAATTCCACTGTGTCTGTATACGCAGCTGGGCACTCCAAACAAAACCTTGCTGAAGCCGCACTGGAACCAAAGTGTGCACTCTATTATCTTTATTTTTCTGGTGTTATTACATCTAACCATCTTACACATTTCAAGGTTTATAGGGGAAAACCATAAAACACAGCTGCTTTTACTAGCTTTACATTAATTTCAAATAAAGTTGCAAATAAAAAATGGTTATGCAGATCAGTAGTAAGAGTTCTCTGAGCAAGTTTTTTATAGAATCAGCTGCATTTTAATTAGCCAGTTTAAATTGCATATTCTTTGAGTAGGGCTGCATTAGCAGAAAGAAGTTCTCAGTTACTGCGCAGTTATTTTTTCCCTGCAATGGATAATCATAAAAAGCAAACTGTATTTTGAAATTCATCCACATGTGCTTTTTTTGTCCACTTTCCACACATTTTCTCCCAGGAAAAAAGGGTAAAAAATTGTTTGGGCTAAATGTTTCTCCTTGCACTGTAACAACTATACTCTCATTGAACAATGCTGGGAGTCAGGAAGCTCTTCTGTTTCCCCAAGCTGCCTGGCTGGGTGTGCAGGCATGCATCCTTAGGAGTAACAACTGTGTCAAGGTGGACAAAAAAGAGCGATATCAATACCAATCTCTCCTCTCTAAAGCTAAGGAAGTTCAACCACCGTTGACAGGAGACATCTGTACTGCAGACAAAACTCCTTTCTTAAGCGTGCCTGGGTCTATTTTAAACTAGGTCAAGTGAAGCCCACCCAAGGAGCTTCCTTTGTCAAGTTAATAGTTCAGTAGCCATCACAGACTGTCCTCCAGGTTGCTACCRCTGCATTGCTACTCACCAGCAAGATAAAATCAACTTTGATCCGAGCACACATAGTGGGAAGTAATGTAGTGGGGACACTCCCTTAGTGGTGCTATTTTAAGCAAGCTCAGCTGCAAATCCCAGAACTTCTGGGATCCTGCCSCTACAATCAGCAGAGAATGCCTGTCAGCGATAAAGACATTGCAAATATCWCCAGTCTTTTGGAGTCTTGGTAACTAAAATGAATAGGGCTGTTCATGTCATTATTTCCTTAGAAGCCCATATGGGATTGCAGCTGGAAGATTTTCTCCTGGCTAGAAACAATAGCACTATGTTTTGTTTTCAAATAGCATAAATCACTCCATTCTGCACAGTGATCAARCGTGCAGAGAAGTGCTGGTTGGACCTGACTAAGTCCCAGCTCTGCTTGGTTACCAAAGAGGCCAAAATGCAAAGAAAGGTTGTTCCTATCTAGTATGTATCATGGATTAGAACAAAGACAGCAACTACAATACAAATAATACTTCAGATACTTTTTCAATCCTTGAACCACATATACTTTATCATCTTCGCAGGCAACTCTATTCGGTAACTCTTTCAGGTGCCTGGGGGGAAACTGCACCTTTATGAAAATGCCAACCAACAGATCAGGATTTACAGATTTTAGAACAATAATCCATACAATAATCTTAGTAATCCCTACCTTGAGTTATGCAGACAAATAGCATTTCCTTTTTCACTAGTCATTTTGTGCTTAAAATAATCTGTCATTTGGCCAGGGAAAAATATAAAACCCTGAMTTTCTGTTTGGTTTTGCTGGGTGCAGGAGTACGTAAGGGGAAGCAAAGCATAGTTTAAGGTTCTGTTTCATCAATTTCCTAATTCCTAAGGCTTTGATGACCAATTCACTTCCCTGAAATAGAACAAAACAGCTCCAGGCTATAGCAGTAGGAATAACAGTTAAAGGTATGGAATTGCCAGACTGCAATATGTGAGAGCTGTCTTGGTTTGCCCTTTGAGTACCCTAAGATTCTTTATGCAGACCTTTTGTACTAATCCTATGCAGACCTTTCATACTAATTATTAAAATGGGAACAATGGATGTAGAGACAGATAGAGGAGATTTTCTATTAAAAGGTATATATTTTGTTGCCTTGCTTAAAGTTGGATTTTTGCAAGAGCCGAAACACAAAAGGTTTGTTTTTCCCTAATACACCAAAACCGCCTCTTTATTTCTCAGTATAGAATTTAAAAAAACAAATAAGTAGGCCACATTTGAATATCTASACATATCAGGTGAATATTTAGAAATTGCAGATGTGTTTTYAGAAACCAGCATGAGCTGATRAATCCTTAAAGARAAGAAGAAAAATGGTGAAACACCCARCAYTTATCCYAACCATTAYTCCATCTGTTAGCAGTACTGACAGTTTTGCAGGTGAATATAATGGTCATGCTTGATCATTTCCTCAACTCTTTTTTTCCACAAAACTTTGATTTTACATTCCAAGCTTGTCTGAGGCAGGTTCCTAAGCCTTTTGTCTCCTCCCCCTTAAGTACAGCCCAACAGACCTTGGACCCTCTTTCAAATCAAGGAAATTTTATCAGGCTTCATGAGTAAATCCATTACATGATATATCCTCAGCCCAAAATGCAGTACCATTACAAAAACACTGCAGAAATATAAGCCAGTGGGTTATGGCAGTTCTTTTTATGCACTTAGAAAAGAGACTGTCTACATTCAAAAGGATGATTATGTTGGCAATTATCCACAGGTTGCATACAACTGTATAGACACAGAGGTGTCCCTGGAAAATACCAGCAGTTAGACCCAATACTGAACAAAAGAAATTACACCTGGCACATATGGCACCACCTCCTTCCCTCCTACACTTAGTGGCATTCAGATCAYAAAGTCTATTAAATCTGGAGACTAACAGAAAAGAAGCTGAAAAGAGCATTGGAAATACAACATCAGGAAACAAATCTTTCAAAGAAAAACAGCTCAAGTCTGCAGAAATAACCAAACCACTGGAGAGACAGTTTGGATCAGACACAAAGGGTCACATTTTCAAAGCTTTTACATGGCTGAATTGGGCTTTTGTGTCCAAAGTAGAAGATGAAAGTAGAAGCTGTGTCCACTAATAATTTTCTAAGTAGGAAAAACAATGTAAATGGGCAAAAAATCACTTGGTATGCCAAAATCTGCCAGAGGCATTTCAACAAATGTTTGAAGATGGAATTAACGATGGAAATTTCATGTGCCCAGAAAGAGATCTGAATTGATCCTTGGGAACGTGGAGAGAATCTGAAACTACAGCAGTCTGTATTGAGCTGAAAACTCTAGCAATATCCATGTTGTCTTCAGCACTATCATGTTTTAAGGTACCCAGAGTAGCTTCACTGAAGAATGTTGCAGAGTGCAGTTAAAGAYTACTGACAAGTGAGGCAAGTGTAAGCATAAGGAAAGGAACACAGAGAGYCTGCCAGAGGCAGAGGAAGGGGAGGAGGCAGGCAGCTCCTCAGGGATGCCAGGGCTGCAGCAGGAAGAATCACAACCTCCTTTTCTTGGTGTAAAAAATCTATCAGCATGAAGACTGAGCTTTGTTGTTTTTAATGTTGCCTGTGAGTACAGAACATCTCACAGGTCCACTTATATTTTGTGTTCTTATGTTAGCAATCTTCTCAGAGTTTCTGCACTCTCTGTTTACATATAAGCACTTTAAGAAGGTATTTTTGTGATCAACGGTTAGAACAAATAAACAAAACAACAAATCAGATTTAATCAGCGAGTAAGTTCAAAGACACAAAGGGTCATGAGCACCTGCCAGTCCCTGAAAACCAAGCAATACCTTGGAATTATTTAACTTTGGAATCAGAATATTCTGTTTCCTTGGCCAAACCACTTCCTGACTAGCACTGTCCACCTTTGATGCCACCATGCTAACCTCTGGCACACATTGCTCCAGTTCCCTACCCCATCTAAATCTCTATTTCTAGATTCTGGGTTAATACAATCAGCAGTTGATAGGTTTCAGCCTTGGTGTTAATTATTTTCTAGTATTAGACTCAGATTAACAATGAGGATGTGAGATACAGAGCAAGTTAATGATGCAATTTAAAATTGATCTCAGGCCAAATTCACTTCCCTGAATATTTCCATTTTGGAGAGAGAAATGCTTACCTGCTCTGGTAAATAACCACTTTTAACACAGCCCAGGCCCTCTTGGCAGAGCTCACTGCCTAGCTGGCAAGCAGCCCCAGATTCACACGGAATTCCACAAAGGAGAAAATGCCAACTTTTCATCATCAGCAGGAAAGCTGCAGAGTACAAGCTTTCCACTTAAATTACCAWCCCCTCCTAAATGCCAGCTCAACAGATTGCAAGAAAGAAGCGCATACTTCACACTCTGCAAGAAAATTGTCYGGTGTAAGTTTTCAAGCATGCTTGGGAGCCAACCAATCACAATGTTTTGTCAAATTCTGCTTCAGACTGAAATTCAAGCCAGAAGAATATTTACTATAAGATGTTAAATTTAGTCACTTAAAAATGTTTTTACACTTGGGGCCGAACTCAGCCTTGGCCGCGGCAGTCAATGAGAGCAGACATGCATCCTCTCTGCGCCTTTGCTGCAGGGTCCTGCTGGGCACAGACGCTGYGGACTGCACTTCCCTGCTTCTTCTGTGCAAAGAGGAGCATGACCCCATCTGTGAATAATTATCACTTGTTACACACCACAGAAAACTGCTGTGCCATGGGGAGCTACGATACCCTGCCCAAACCTGTAGGCAGAGCASAGGCACCATGATGTTAGACTGACTTCTGTGTCATGGAAACATCAAACCTGGCTTCTTTAAAAAGGACGTGATGAAGGAAGAGGCAAATCCTTGGGTTTTGACTCAGAGAATTTTGTTCTTGAAGGAAGCCTTCCTTACTATCTCTGGCTGCAGAAGGTCCYCTATCTGAACGCAGTTATTTGGAAGTAAAAGGTAGGATTTAGCATACTGGAGTCAAGGAAAGCCTGTGCCCAAGGATTTTTTAAATCCAAGTAGTGCCTCTTCAAAAATAATATGGAGGAAAGCAAGCAGAACCTACCCTTACACATCTAAAGCAGCATTACCACCACCTGGACACCAAAGTCATAGCAGAGTTCTTTATAGCACCTAAGCTAGGAGGGGCAAAATAATGTGGAATTTCCACACTCCATGATGAAGACTTTGGGGAAAAATCCAATATTCAACCCAATTTTCACAGGCTTGTCGGAATAAAATATGAATCTTTGCATTTAATGGTTTTCATAATTGAAGTAATATGTATATCTAYACATTTTAAAAATGAGTATTTAAAACTATATAACCAATGCGTGAAAAACTATATAATCATTTAAAAAGTGTCACAATGAGTGAAAGAATTTAATTTTCAGCACACATATAATCTCRGAAAGGCTTGTGCTTAAAAGCAATGATGCATTTGGAATTATCTGAATCCATCTTTTCTTTTGTTTTGACAGATGTTTTTTTAATGGACAAGTTCTCAAACCATGTTGAGAAAATTCAGGGATATTTTAAGGCCAAYTGATGGTCATCTTGCCTTTTCACCTTCCAGAAGGTTTTCCATGTTTACATTTTGGATTTCAAGGGAACCCAGCTGCTTAATCTCTTCTCACCCCTTARGAAGATTTCCTTCCAAGGAGATAACCTACATCTCTTCTCATTAGGTCTGCAAATGGTCAAATGGATTTTTCTCAAATGGAAACTTTCTGCTTGTAAACAGAAGCATGGAGAGGAAAACCTAAGATATCAAAGCATTTTATATGCAAACTTTCTAATTAATAATTTACCTTTATAAAATTTATCCTTAATTCTGTAATTTTCTTTTTAGCTTGCTCACTATTTAAGAAAGTATCCACAGAAACAGATCAAACTGAGTCATGTCAGATACTACAGTATTTCTTGCCTTCTTTACAGTTGCTGTCAGATAGGGGATGGATCTCCTCTAAATTCTACATTGGTTATATCAGTTCATCCATGCTCAAATTATTTAAAGAAGATTAATTTGGTAGAGTATTCTTTTCCTGGTGTCTTCACTCACTTTTTTTTTTTTAAGAGAAGAGTGAGAAGTTATCTGACTAAACAAATCACTAAGCTATAAGCCATATATAAATTAAAACAAAATATATCTATTTTGGATGTCAACCTGTTTTCCTTCTTGATTATCTGAAAGAAATGTAAAAAAGAGGGTATTTTGCACTTGTAAATTTGATGTTACCTCTTAGGTAACATATCAGACCAGCGCTCCATGAAAGTTGAAAGCTGTGGCTAGTTTTAGAATTCTTTTTTAAACTGTTATTCTGTTGGTAATAGAACACATGAAGCAGTGGATTTCTGTATTGAAAAGTCTTGGCCAAAAACAACAAAAGAAAAGAAAAAGTTTTCAAAAAMCTCTGCAAAATGTTTATGAATTCTAATCCTCAGCACATGAATAAATACATCTGACAAACTGCAGGGTACCTCACGAAGGCCTTTCCCAGCCTTTCTAATTTGAGTTCAATTGCATGTGTAGTACTTAGAACTGAAGTTAATCTTGCCAATGTTTTTAAACTAAGGGTGCACCATATACCATTATTTTTAAAAGAGAAAGGCAGATAATAGGTTATAATTATCCTATTAATCACCTGTAAAGCATTGCATTTAGAGAAGAATGCATCCTCAAATTGCAGTAATTGGTTGTTTAAAGAAAAAAATAATTCTGTCCTTGGCAGAACATGCTTGGAGTTTGCTGGGCAAGTTCATGAAKAGTGTGCTGAAATCAAGCAGTGTAAATGCTGTGGGGCATGTGGTGCTTATTGCCATAAATCTATTTCTAACTGCTAAGTATCAGACTTTCTCATTAGTGTCTGCTCCTTGGCAACACCTTTACTTATTCTTTTAAGCCAAAGTCAGTTTCTTGTGGTACTCTTCGTACCACAACCTTTCTGGAGCACTCTTCCCTTCTTCATAGCCATAGCACATTTTGTCTTTGAAATTCTGCTGCACTAAACCATTTGACACATGTCCCAAAAGACAGTGTTGTGAGTAAAAGGACATGAGAACAATGCTTATTGCCCGAGATGTTTCAAGTTATTAAGGACCATGTCCTTTTACATGCAAATTAAAAATGGCTGTGTGGATGTTTTTTGCATTCATTCTCAGTTAGTGAATTTTTGTCCCTCATGAAATGTACTTTGCTATATTTTGAAAACAGAYTCACARTTTATCTAATTTTCTSRTCTCTAATTACTCTAATRKAAAATGGAAGAAAATCTTTATTCCARTACCCTTATYTTAATTAATTTTTCTYACAATCARWATTTTYTYTTGGATAATGWCAGTGATAGCAGAAATAGTAGTTGGTATGATATAGGGKCAAAACAAAATAAGGCAGTTTCCATAAATGGGTAGTACCACCAAATGGTCATAACTGGACAGAGGGACCCAGGCACCTATACAAAGGAGGACACATCACATCATCAGCACAGCACCAATCACATCAGTCCTACAAGGCTGCGAATTTCAGGGAATGTGTTTAGAAATGCTGTGAAAAGCCACTGATGTTGCAAGTTACTATCACAGGGAAGATGACAACAGAAATATCAACGACACTGCCCTGGAAYTACAGCTAGTCAGGAATGCTGCATGCAATGCTGCATGCTATGCTGCATTCACTAAGATTGCCAAATGCCTCAAGCTGGGCTATTTAATCTGCATTTCAATACCTAAATAAACAACTAACCTTGAGCTGAGCAGCTTTTTTAGTAGCATATACCACCACAGTGGAAAACTTTCCTTATGGAGTTTGTCAAAGGTGACAGTGGATAAAACCCGCTGAAACCTTTCTTTTTTCTTCTGGTGTCTGCTTTACATTTCTGAGAATATTTTTGGAAAAGCTAACACTTTATTCATTGTATGTATAACATAAAAAATAATAAGCATTGTTGATGTGTCAGAAAGATGAAAGGCAAAGGTTTAAAAGAGCACTTAGAAAATTCTTCTACCCAACATCCATCAGAAGACACATTACTTCACCTTATTCACATAGGTATGAAGCCTTGAAGTGGAAGAGAATTGGCAGACTAGCTTGCAATTTGGCACTAATACATTTGATTGAAGAGATTATATAGCTATTAGCACTTCCCTTGAGAGGGAAGAAAAGTAGCACACTGCACTTTATAACAAGATCTTGCAAATTTCACAATTTATGGTAAAGTTTTTTTGTAAATTATTTTGGCTGCACCTTCAGCAATTTTTTTTCCTCTTCACTGGATTTATAGAATAAAAGACATTCTCTGGTGGACAGCAGAAACATTTTAACTAWTATGAATCCTTGTCTTGCATTTGTGTACATAAATGGCACATACATATATTTACTTAGTCTGACAGTCTACTCTCAAAAGTTGTAAACATACACAGTTTCTGATAACGCTTGGAAACTCCATTTTGACTACATACAGATCATCCTGACTCTTCATTTATAAATTAATTTTTTAATGAAAACTTGAACATATTTTTATTAATGTTTCAAAAGTGAAGTGTCAAAATACTGCAAAAAATGTGCCTTTGCAATATCCAGTTTCCAAGACTACCAGTTACCTTGAAAAGGCCATTTTTTTCCATGACAGATGGCTAAAAGGTCCATTCCTAATAGATGACATGCACAACAATGACTACTAATGATGTCAAGTCTAGTATTCCACACATCACTAAAAGCAATTTGGAGGTTTTAAATATTACTCAGAACTGGGAATGCTTTAGGCACACACAGAAAGATTTGTATAATTATCTACTCTAGAGGTATTTATGCAAACCAGCCCATTTGAGGTCAGTTCATTTCTAAGACATTCAAAATCCATGGGTTTTATACCAAATGGAAAAAGGACTGAGACCATTGTTATTAAAAGGAGAGCAAAGATAGCATTCCAATCATTCTCTCCACCTACTATGATTTATGTTTTACCTCATTTCCTAGAAGGGCATTTATACAGGCTTCAGAGGCGTCACAGATGGCAGTAAGGTCATGTCCTCCCTCCAGTGCCAGCACCACGCGGCCRTCCGCCAGCTTCAGCAATTGCTTGGTTAGGTGGCCAAAACCTGGTATTCAAACACAGGAGTGCAAATAATTAAAGCAYAACAGATATTGCAGGCATGTTTCACATCTGCTGCATGAGAATGTAGACAGCTCTGGAATACTGCACAGGGAGAATAGGATATACTTAGTCCAGTATCCTATTTCTGTCCCACACCAGATGCTTTGGAGTTAGTACATGGAATTTTGTATGAGGCACATGTGAGATATGTCCCTCATGCTGATCCCTCATCGCTGAAGAGTAGTTGAAACATGAGGATGTCTCTCTTCTTACCTTTTTTAACCATTATCACCCCAGATTCTCTTCCTATTTGCATATCACTGTGACATGCACCCATATTATTAAGAGAGATCTGACATAACCCTGGGCACTTATGGCATTGATATGACAAATAATATTTGTAGTTAAACRATGGTGCTATAAATAAAAATAGTCGTGCTTTTCAAATGGGATGATGAAGGAGGTTTTTATTTAAAAATTGCTTCTCCCTTTGTATTTGAGGTTTGAGAATAATACAAAAGGAYGGAATGAAAGATAGTGGAAACATGTGTTACTTCTGAGCTCCATCTTGAAGTGGTTTTGCAACCTGCACTAACAATGTTAATTCAGGGTTTGGGTATAAGCTGAAATGTCTAGAAATTGGTAGGTATCTCTACCAGTATCACTCACTCCTGACCAACAGTGTTCTAAGAAGCTCTGCTCCATAGCCAAAAATGATGGTACTTCATTTTCTGTGTTGATCTATAACTACACAAACATTACCACAAAGTTTTCATCTGTGATTCATGTAAAATTAATTTATTACATTTTTAATGACAAGAAAAATTGCATGAAATATGCCAATTTGGAGTGAATATTTTTGAAAGAATTTTTGTGGTAGTTTCCTAGGACAGCTATTGTTTTTGTTTAATCTCTTTTAAGTAAGAAATGATAAACAAAGATTTGAAACTATTGATGCTAAATAAACATCACATCTTGGTCTTAACTTTTCCACTTGGTCTGTACAAGTTGTTCTATTGATGTTCATCATTACTCATTCCACTGCATTTCATACCCTTAACTAAAGCATTAAAAGGTACCTGCTAAACCCTGGAGTTTCATAAAGACAGGAGAATAAACATCTTTTTATTATGCTCCAGTGACAAAGACCACYAAAAATTAAAACTGTGAAAATTACAAGCATATTTTTCAGAGAAATTTTCCAATCTCACATTTAGTTCCATTTTCATCTTAGGATATAAAATGTGCTTTGTTAAGCACATGTCCAACTGTTTTTAGAATAGGGACTTTTATGATACCAGATCTGGATTAGCTGTGCAGACAAAAAAACCCCTCAAAATTATAAACTCCTCTACTTGCCACTTAACCTATAGATGATCATAAAAACACTTGAGGTGAAATGATGTTTCCTTGAGCTGCTACCTAATCTTCTGTACCCCGAAAGTACTGCAGTTTTGATTCTAACAAAGTAATTACACTGTGGTTCAAATTACACAAAGGGCTGAATAACAAATAAAACCTTAAACTTCGTTTAAACTCAACATTTCCTCATGAAAAAAATAATACAGCCCAAAAAAACCCCCACCCACTCCTCTCTACAAAAGACCGAATTTAAATTTAGACAGGAGGAAGGAAGGAGTGGAATGAGAATAACCTTTGATCTTTAGCCAATTTTTGCTTTCTTTTACCTWCAGAATTTATTTCTCTGTGCATGTTACACATGAGATCTTTGGGTTCATAAGAAAAGAGTGTCAACAGAGAGTAAAAGATACAACATTTAAAGGAAATGAAGAAGAATGAACAGGCTTAGGTTCCCCACATATATAATTTACCCTTTGAGCCTGTGAGGAATCCAACAGTACTTTTAAGGTTACATTACCCTTTCTGTTAAACAGATTCCAGTGAAGGGGAAGCTCTACCGTGTTTCCCCTGCACATTTTTAAAATTTTATATTACTGCAAATATTTCCACCTCCACATTGTAGCCTTCTGAGGTTTGTATGGCATAGCAAATGATTTTCTTCTTTTAGACAACCATACAGAATAAAATCCATAGACACTGTTACAATATTCGTTTGTTTGGTTTCCTGATGATTTTCCTATTATTTTAGCATAAATAATAACCCCTGACTGAATCAGGACACAATGAGTGATACAGAAAGCATCTTTCCAATGCTTTCCAAAAAGAGATAACAAGATAAACTGTTTCCAACCCAAATTAACAYGATGGGGCTTTTCTTTAGTACAATTACCCTGAAAAAGTAAAGGTAACTTGCTAGAAAGTGAAGAAATAACTTTATCCAACAGTACCAACATAGCCAGTGACGGAATGAGTTATGGAAATCCTTAACAAAGAAACTTGGATCCCATGTCACTGCAGCAACCTAGGAAAGATGTTAGCTTCCTCAAGGAAATCCCCTGGAGTGCAGAAGTAAGAAAATGGAAAGAAAGGAATCCCAGTCAAGTAATAGTTTTAAGATGGGCTGTAGCTCATGCCAAATAATTAAAGAAAGCCAGAAGAAAATAGTAACAAGMACCATTAAAAGAATCCGTCATCTCCCCTGATATAAGGAGATCAAGCACTGGCCAACTTAAGGTGAGAAAGGAGTCAGACAAGCATTTTGAATCCTGGATCTTCCAACTCACATGAATATCTAGAAATCAGCAGCAGCTCTTGACCTTTCTATTGTACCTGCTTAAATCTTCTTGTAAATGTGCTCAGTGATTTTGCATTTCAGAGAAGTGCAGTGTTTTTTAAAATTAKGCTGTGCACTGTGCCAGGAAATTGTGAGAATAGTTTTATGCCAACTATTATTTTCATAATTTCTGTAATTTAAACTTTAAAAGCACTTGCTTCATCAACAGATCCAACATTTGGRTATCCTGGGTAGAACTTGCAAAAGCACTTAACATTCATTTTCTATGATCCTATTAAATATTATGATTAACCTTTGGTTTCCACAAGAAACAAAACACTACTAAGTAATTCTGAAAATTCCACTCACTGAGTGTTTTATATTTTCTTCCCTAAAAAATCTGTGGGTGCACAGTTGTGCATCCAAGCAAAGAAGACTAAATTCTGACTGCAACCATTATAAATTATGCATAAAAATATAATGCATTTGAGAGATAACCTGCATATGAGTTGTTTGCCAAACTTTGAAGTAAAAATATAAACTTTCAAAGCAAAAACATAATGTGCAATTTACACTTTAATTACACCTTTTCCTCTCCTCCAGTACTATTATTAGAGGAGATACAATACTCAGACATTTCTAAGAAAATAGTCTAGTGTGGGAAGTCAGAAAGAGAGAAAATGATTATTGTATTATAGTAAAGAGCAAGCTGTCAGGCTGTTGTTGAAGGACACAGTGAGCTGAACATTTGAATTACAATCTAAGCAAGTAATCCCATCATCTTCCAGTGGACTGATACCCCAGTAAGGACCCTGGGGCTTTTTTCTCTTTGTAAAAGGTAAGTTCCCCCCACACTCTGTGTAGCTCTGCTAAGCAGCAAGAAATGGCGTGGCTGAGCTTCTGAAGCCTCATTTGGCCAAAGCCACTGGACCAACTGCACTCTATCTGGACTTACTGAAAACCAAAAAAATGTATTAGAACCCTATAAAAAGACAATCCAGAGTAATTTCRGTTTTCTTTTGTTGCTTTTGAGGTATCCTTACTCTGATAAGTTGAAATGGACAGTGGCAAAGAGAAGGCAGGCAAAACACCTCTTATCCAGGTYGATTCCCCTCCAATGGGCTCATAACACAACTGTCTTGTGTTACATGTGGTTGAAGTAAAGCTAAYGAGTCAGAGTTTGCATGTACAGCCTCCCATTTTGCCAACGAAGCATTTGAGAATGAAGACAACTTGGGAATGTTATTCTTCTCACATCTCTTCCTCAGCAGACAGGGAAAGGAGCCATATGGATGGGGTGCACTCCCAGTCAGCCCCGCAGCCCCCCTTGTTTGWGTAAACAGTCATACACGCAACTCACTTTGCTTGCCAGCAAACGTGCAAACACCCAGTTAGTGGGGACTAAACCTGCCTCAGTCGAAGAGTGACTCCTTCCCTCTCCCCCACTGTGCATAAGGAGAGCAGATGTCTCATTTTTTTGGGTGATGGCAGGCTGAGCATAGCCGTGGTGCTGGCCCTTGCTCGTTGGAGAGGGCTGGTGTAGGAACAAGGACACGTCAACAACCGAAAGGTTGGCGAAGCTTTACAGTTATGGAGAAAGCTTTCTCAGCCTCAGCAGCAGGGCCCCAACAGCTCTTTTGGCTTCAGTGTCTTAAAAGCTACAACCCAACCCTAAATTACAGGCAGAGTTCTGGTGAGTTCCTTTGGATACTCAGAGCAGCCTGGAGAGGAATACATGCAAAACACAAAACCTCCACAGTCTCTGTCCTGGACCTCCAAGACTGTATTTAACTATTATTTACCATTTAATCATGTCATTACTCTCTAATTTACTTGAGAATGTGTTTTCCTCTCATTAAAACTGTTGCGCTGATCGCTGCCAAAATTCTACCCACCAGTGTTCTGTGCTCCTTCCCTGTGGTTCCTTCGTGACTATTTGATTAATTTTCATTGATATTCTTCCAACAATAGCATCTAAAATTAACTGGGTCAGTTTTTACATAACTTCCTGAGTCACCAGGCTACGTGTCCTAAATAAATATGTCCATACAGGAGTCAAATGATAATTTACCCTTCCAGCACTAGCAGGAGCTGGGACATTTTGGAAAGGTTGTGTTCTATGATAACAGAACACATTTTATTCTCAGCTCTTAATTCAGGACCTTTTATTCACTCAAAACTTAATTTGGATGAAGTCAGAGACTTGACTCAGTTGGCAGGACGTGGCCTTGAGTGAGGGGGAAAAGAAGATTTTAACGCCAAATACATTCTTATAAAAAACATTTTCCAAATGGCTGAAATTACAAATGTTAGTGTTGAGGTACCTGAATTTAAATGGTACATTTGGCCTCCAGGCATTAGCTGCTGAT